TCAAAAATGTAGGAAAAGAGAAAACCAGGGACTTCCCTGGTGGCATAGTGGTTAAGAATCCGCCTGCCAATGCAGGGGACACAGGTTCGAGCCCTGGTCCGGGAAGATCCCACATGCCGCAGAGCAACTAAGCTCGTGTGCCACAACTACTGAGCCCGCGTGCCACAACTACTGAGCACGCATGCCTAGAGCCAGTGCTCCACAACAAGAGAAGCCACCGCAATGAGAAGCCCACACACCACAACGAAGAGTAGCCCCCGCTCACTACAACTAGAGAAAGCCCACACACAGCAACGAAGACCCAACATAGCCAAAAAACAAATTAATTATTTTTTTAAAAAAAGAGAGAAAACCAAACAGCTAATCCTGATCATTTTTATGACAAAAAACCATGAAAAATAAATAATGAAGCTTTCAGTGTCATAAAAACTGAAGCACCTTTTAATGTAAGTATTGATTACCAGAATCCCACTGGAACGAATAGTGTCACTGGTGTTGAGTGGAGAGACAGAAATGCCTGAAGGGAAGGCGAGTAGGATCTATTAAGCCAACAGGACCCCTCATAGCTACACCCTATAATGACAAAATATTTTACAATACTGGGCCCCAAAGAAGATCTGGGCCAATTAAACAAAAACAAAGTACTAGAATCACCTACTCCTGTGGAGAATGCAAAACTGTAGAAACCAAAAGGTGAATGTTTTGCACTCTGTTGGGAAGACAAGTTTTAGTGATCAGAAGCGGAAACTCTCCATCCTTCAGGTATGACGGCAGTTGTTAATTCATTGAGTACAGGAACTATGAAGAAGCTGCTACTAAACAATATCAGGCCCATTCAAAAAGGGAGATGGGAGGAAGACAGCATCTACAGCCAAACTCTTGAGCCTCGTAGAGGAGATGATGGCCACCCAAGACGATCCACTAAGCCAATCCAGCAGCTTTACCAACCTCCCCGGGCTCAGAACGAGTATTACAAGAGTCTTTGTTTAGAAACAAGCCAGTGACTAGACCTCCTACTTTCCCTTTAGAATAAAATGCAGCCACTGTGGATATTATTATTTGAAGAATGAAAAAACAGATTTTAGGGGAAAAAAAAATCAACCCACACAAAGAATGGGAAAAATTATGGAGCCAGATAAAGCAACTACCTTTTACAAGTGAAAGAATTTTTTCTTCTGCCATCAATAAAACCAATATGTTATTTTTAAAAAAAAGAAAAGAAAATAGTTTAAAAGAAATAAAATAAAAATAAAATTTAAAAATCTCAGTGCCAGGGCTTCCCTGGTGGCGCAGTGCTTGAGAGTCCGCCTGCCGATGCAGAAGACGCGGGTTCGTGCCCCGTTTCGGGAAGATCCCACATGCCGCGGAGCGGCTGGGCCCGTGAGCCATGGCCACTGAGCCTGCGCGTCCGGAGCCTGTGCTCCGCAAATGGGAGAGGCCACAACAGTGAGAGGCCCGCATAACGCAAGGAAAAAAAAAAAAAAAAAAAAAAAAAATCTCAGCGCCAGGACTTCACTGGTGGTCCAGTGGGTAAGACTCCCTGCTCCCAACGCAGGGGGCCTGGGTTTGATCCCTGGCCAGGGAGCTAGGTCCCACATGCGTGCTGCAACTAAGAAGTCTGCATGCCGCAACTAAGAAGCCCTCATGCCACAACTAAAGATCCCGCGTGCCACAACTGAGACCCGGCGCAGCCAAAATAAATAAATATTAAAAAAAAAAAAAAATCTCAGTGGCACGAAGACTCTCACTTGATCTAAGATTTTTTCCAAACTGAAATTTTATAAATATCAAAGTTTCCATTAACCTTCCAACCTCCTACCCTTAAAGCCAGGCCCACAGCCAGCCTGCAAATCCTCAGGCTGAGTCTGAAGTGTATCTTGTGGGGTTTAGAGGGAGGCAGAGAACTCACCTGAGAGTGTGGCCAGGGTTCGTTCAGCTGTTCGGCGGAGGGTCTCCCCGGGCTGCCACTCTGCCTGGGGCAGCATCCAAACGTCCTGGTCTCCAAGCTTCTCTCTGACCAACAGAATGAGGTTCCTGTCTAGCTTCCGGTGCAGTGAGGTTCGGTCATTTTTTACATCGGCTTCTGTGAAGAAAAGAGGGGGTCACAGGAGACAAGAGGACTGTGTTCTGCCAGAACCAAGAAGATCAGAGTTTTAGAATCCTCCTTTAAGGCAGAGCCAAAACCTCTGCCCTCAAAGAACTTATAATCAAATTAGAACCCTGACCCATCTCTCTAACTCTGACCTCTCTCAGGACAGAGTCTCACAATCTTGAGGAAACTAAAATTTAACAAGAAGAAACCAAAAGCTGAACTCCTCCTTTGAAGAGCCAAACACAAAGTACTTTGAGCCTCTGGAAAAGAAGCAATACCCGGACACTCTATTTCATCGGTCTTGACACTGTTACTGACTTAACCAGCCCCTACTTTCTCTGTTCTTCAGTCTTCATCGTGAAATAAGAATGAAAGAACTCAACCCCCTGCTTTGGGAGGGATTTCAGATAAAATACAGGAAACTAGTGGGGAACACTTAATTTACCCCACTCTTAGTCCCAAACTAGGAGTTAAACCCAGATAACATTCCTGAGGCTTAACTGCAACAGATAAGGCTATCCCAATACCCTTACATCCCACTCAAAAATAACACAGACCTTAAAAAATTATATTAGGGTGGATGTGAGGAACAGGGAAAAGAATTTCTTTTTCTCCCACGTGAAAGAAGTTCTATCATTTCAAATTATTTGTTACTTAAAACACAAGCAGGAGTTAAGCAAGAATCGTTTGTTTGGGAACCAGAATACCCCCCTTTTCCACCTCTAACTGGCCTGAAAAGACCACAAACCTGTTATTCGAGCTCCAGGTTTGAACTGTAGGAATTTCTGCTCCCACATGTCTTCCAAATCCTGCAACAGCAATATATTCTGCTCATCTTCTTCTTCACCATAAAGGTCGCTTTTCTTCTTTACCAGTTTCTGGGCTTCATCCAAAGCACGAAGCTCATGGTCTGAATACAGGCTTCTCTCTATCTCAATCTGGGAAAATTAAAAGAGCAAAAATCTACCCCAAACTGGGAAAATTAGAAGGACAAAAATAAATAAATAAAACAGAGCTACAGTGCACTTGACAGACTCAGAAGTTTACCACCCAACAGACATACAACCAAAACACCACAGAGAAAACAGAGAAAAAAAGATCAGCTGCACTTTGGGCTTGAGTTATATTTACTAAAACATCAGAATGTGTTTGGAGGTCAAGACTGCCACAAAGAACAGCGGACTAGGAAAGGCATTGCCTGCCCACTTACCTCCCTCCAGTCAGGCCAGTCTTTGATTAGAATCTCACTCACCATGAACGTTCCTGCTTCAGGGAGTTTACAGATGCCATTCCTTCTCCCTAGAATGTTTTCCCTCATGCTCTCCTGGGAGATCCCTACTCATCCTTCAGATCTCAATTTAAATATCACTTTTTTAAAAAAATATCACTTTCTTAAGAAAGATATTCTATGACACCTCCCATTAAAATCAAATTAATGTCCCTGTTAAATACTATTACAGTACCCTGTGTTTTCCTTTACAACACTTACCAAAGACTTCAATTCCATCATCATGTGGTTATTTGGTCATTGACTGATGCCCCCTCCACCAAATTGAAGTGCTCTGAGAACCACAGCTATGTCTGTCTCATTCACCACTGCATCCCTAGCACTTAGCAGTGTCTGTACAAAGTGGTTCCTAAATGATTATCTATAAAGCGATTAATAAAATGTTTGCAGAGTAAATTAATAAGCCAAGTAAAAAGGACAGAAGTGAAGTTTTTATCTCTCAGTAGCCAAGACAAAAACGTCTCAGGTTCTGGGGGAACATAATATCCTTTAATCACTATGGGGATTTAAGACCCTCATAACCACTACACCGCTTTTGCCCATGTCTCTTCACTTGCCCCTCACACAAAAGACTTTATCACAGACATCTTACGGATGTGCCCGTTGCCTTTTCCTTACGCTCATCACGTAACAAAGACTTTCTCCTCTCCAAACTGTCAACTACCTATGATAAGGGCTGAATCCGTCTTGTTCACCATCGCATACCCAGTATATTGACTGAAAAAGGAGAGCATCTCCAAAGAGTTGCCGACGATAACAACAGAAAAGATCAATGAAAACGAAGTACCTTTTATTGAATGCGTACTACGTACCACACCAACCCAGTAAGGTAGGCACCATTTTGCAGGTAAGTATACTGAAGCTCAGAGAAGTGAAGTAAATTGCCCAAAGTCACACAAACTAATCGGTGGCGGAATCGGGATCAAACGCAAGTCAGCGTGCCTCTACTGCTTCCCCAACTGCACCCAGAAGCGACGACCCGCACCTCAATCCCACCTGCTGTAGCAGAGCCTCCATCTCTTCCTGCAACGGAGTCAGCGGCTTCGAGACCAGCGGTGGCCGCTGCAAGCACAACGCGCCCAGCAAGCGCCATGGAGACGCGCTGCTCGAGGGTGCGGCCGCAAGGGCCAAGCTACGAGAACCCAGACTACGGGTCCAGGGGCCCTCGAACTGCCGCCAGCCCCTCGCCACCCCTAATACAGTCAGCCTTACAGACCCCGCCATCTGTCAACCTTCCCACAATGTACCGCGGCTCCCAACGAGGTCCTGAGCCAATCCTATATTCCCACAAGGCAGTGCGGGCACAGCATGACGGGAAGAGCTAGGTTCCCCGGAACTAGTAGAACGAACCATTCCAATATGGAGGGGTGGGCGAAGATCTCATGTTAGAAAACTAGGAAAAGGGGGGAGGACTCCCAGTTGAGAGGATATCCCACTCTCAACAATATTATTATGGAGCATTTAACTTGGAATAAAAATCTTTAATATACGTTTTAAAAAGGACTCAGATGACTTTTCCTCTGCACCCCCCCCACAAGCGCTCGTGGTGCTAGCTCCACTCCAGCCCCGCCAAGCTCCGCGGTCGCCGCGGACGGAACCTGAGTGGGGTCAACTCAAGTCATGCAGGTTGTAAGAAACGCGGGGTTTTGGCTCTTGCGGTTATGGGCTTGGCCACCGACGACCAGGTAAGAATGATTATCCCCTCCGAACCTACGGCCACCCGCGAGAGTTCGCTCCTGCCCATGTCCCATGAGACACCTGGACTCCAGTTAGGACTCGGTTAGGCCTGGACCTCACCGAGCTTTCCTTCTCCACAGGGTCGCCGTGGCCGGAGTGCCGACCCCCACCATCCACACTAGCGCCCAGCAGATGCAAGACGCAGCGGCCAAGCCGGAAGTTGAGAAGGCGAAGGCGAAGGCTCCGGCGCCAGCTCCGAGGCACAGCAGCTTCAGGTGAGGGCCACTTAGGTCCAGCCCTCGGGAGACTGGCACCACCCTCCAGAGTCAGAGAACCAGTGAATTCCCAACTCTTTGTCACTTGCCATCTGCGGGACCTTATGCAGATTAATCTCTGAGCCTCAGCTTTTTCGTCTGAAAGTGGAGATAACGCCGGAAGAGGTTGTGAGGATCAAATGAGATGAGCTTTGGCACAAAGTGAATGCTCATGAACATTTGATGAATGAATGAGTGAACGTCGAAGTTGTATAGTAAATATCACTTTTGTTTCCCTCTGGGATCACGTCAGACTAACAACCTTCCCTGGGTCTCGGACACAAAAGCGGGCGGGGATGGGTGGCTACACTAGGGTGTATGTTATTATGCACTTTTTTGAGTTGGTCTAAGGTCCAGGGTGGTTTCTGTGCTTAGCCTCAGCGACTTGGTAACTTGCTTTCCACAGTGCCACTACCTCTTTGTGCTACTTATACTTCACTATATTTAACAAACCTTTTCTAAGAACCTGCTTGGTGCTAGGCACCATGCTAGGTGCTGGGGATACAAATGCAGAAGATCATTCCTCCCCACAAGTAGTTCACAGTCTACCAGGGAAGACAGACATACAAATGTTTTCACCATAATCTGACCAGTGGTATATTGGAGGTAAGAGATGGTTGTTTTGAAGTATGAAAGAGTGAGTGTCTGATTCCGGAGAAAATCAGGCAAGAGTGCCAAGAAAATAATGTGAAGCTAAGAACTGAATTGAATGGGAGTTCAGCTGGAAAAGATGAAAAGTCGTTTTAGGCAAACTAACAGTCTGTGTAATGCATGCATTGTGAAAGAATGCAGTGTATTCAGGTGTATGTGTGATGGCAGATGAGGCCAGCAGGGTGAGAAGGAATCCGAATGCTGAGGGTCTTATCTGTAACACTGGGGCTTTTACGCAGTCCCCACTGTAGGCAGTGGGGAGCTGCCAAAGGAATTTAAGCCAAGATTCTTTTATAGTCACTCAGCAATGTCAGGCACTGTTCAAGGTGTTGGGTATGCATCGGTGACCAAACACACAAAAGTCCCTGCCCCCGTAGAAGTTAAATTCGAGTGGATAGGGGACAGTATATAGAAAACAAGAAAAAATACGACAGATTGTAGGAGTGTATCTAGTGTTTGAGAGCAGCAGCAAGAAGGCCAACGTGGAGTGATGAGTAAAAACAGGTGGGGGCAACAGGGCAAAGGGGTGCAGCAGGCACGCAGGGCTACATCCTGTCGGCCTTGTGGGCCATCGTGAGGACTTCACCTTATTCTCTGAGTGAAGTGGGAAGTCACTGGAGAATTCTGAACAGAGGATTGACATGATCCTGCTTACATCTTAAAGGGTCCCTTTGGCCGCTGTGTTGATATTGAACTGTAGGGAAGTGAGGATGGAAGATGGGAGAAGTCTCCTAAGCAGCCAAAAAACTACTGAAGTAATCTAGGTGAGAGATGATGCTAGCCTGGACCAGAGTAGCAGCTGTGGAGGTAGTATAAATGGTCAGACTGATACATTTAGAAGATGACCAACAGGGTTTGTTAATGTAAAGGAGAGGACTGAAGGAGTGCTCTAAAATTTTTGGCCTAAACAGCTGGAAAGATAGAGTTGTCATTAAGACGGGGGAGACTGCAGGAGCTTGGATTTGGGTGGTTAAGTTTGAGATGCTTCGTTAACATTCAAGTGGAGATACAACAATGACTATTAGAAATGGAGTTCAGGGCTTCCCTGGTGGCACAGTGGTTGAGAGTCCGCCTGCCAATGCAGGGGACACAGGTTCATGCCCCGGTGTGGGAGGATCCCACATGCCGCGGAGCGGCTGGGCCCATGAGCCATGGCCGCTGAGCCTGCGTGTCTGGAGCTTGTGCTCCGCAATGGGAGAGGCCACAACAGTGAGAGGCCAACATACCACAAAAAAAAAAAAAAAATGGAGTTCAGGGGACAGATCTGGGCTAGAGGTATACATTTGGAAGACTCATCATATAGATGATTTTTGGGGTTTTTTTTTTTGCAACGAGGCTTATGGGATTTTAGTTCCCCGACCAGGGATCAAACCCAGGGCCCCCTGGCAGTGAGAGCACCGAGTCCTAACCACTGGACCACCAGGGAAGTCCCTAGATGATATTTAAAACCATAAGATACAAGATCATCAAGAGAGAAAGGGTAAACAAAGAGAAGAAGAGGTCCAAGGACAGCACCCTGGAGCCTCTGGCATTTAGAGATTTGGGAGATGAGGAAAAATCAGCAAAAGAGAAAGAAGAAATCTCCAGAGAAGTACTAAAAAACCCTGGAGGGTTTTGTGTGTGTTTTTTTTTTTAATGTGGTTGAAGGGCAGAGAGATTAGCTATATCAAATGCTACTGATATGATAGGTCCATAGACTGACGACAGAATTGCTCATTGGACTTAACATTGTGAGTTGGTTGGTGACCTTGACTAGAGCATTTTCAGTGGAGGTATGAGGGGCTAAGGTCTGAGTGGCGTGGGTTCAAGGAGGATAGAAGACAGGAAGAAACAGCAGGTATGGTCATTTCTTTGAGTGGGAATATAGAAATGGGCAGGTGCTAAAGGAGGCTTTAGGATCAAGAGGTTTTTGTTTGTTTTTAGGTTGGGGAAATGACCACATGTTTTGCTGATGGGAATGATGCAGTAGAGAGGGGAAAGAATGAGGATGCCAGACTGCTGTCCTTGAGGGGCTAACACACAAGTGGAGCATCATAACAGGAGAGAAGGCAGAGATAGTGGGCACAGATGTTTGGTAGTGGGAGCTGGAAGAACTTCTGATTGCTTCTATTTCTCTGTGAAGGTCATCATCGGGCAGTGAGGAAGCAGGAAGGAGTTGGAGGTCTGAGGGGACAAAAGAAGGTACAAAATAGTCATCCAGGACAGTGAAAGGGTAATTGAACTGTGGATGCGCTGTATGATTGCCAGCAATGAGGGCCCACTGGATGTTAGAAGTCATTAAAGTAAAGCAGCGGTTCTCAGCCTGGGGCGGCTGTGCCTCCAAGGGGACTTTTAGCGATGTTTGAAGATATTTTTGGTTGTCACAACTTGAGGGACAATGTCTAGTTGGGTAGAGGCCAGGGATGTTGCTAAATACCCCACAGTGTGCAGGACAGCCCCCCTTCAGAGAATTCTCTTGCCCAAAATGTCAGTAGTACTGAGGTCAAGAAACTGTGATAGAGAGAGAGAGAGAGAGAGAGAGACAGTAGGTACTACTGCACTACTGTGTATTTTTCTCTACCCAACTGTGCAGGCTATTTTCAGTCCTCGTCAGCCATTTGCAAGAGATGCCGTGTGTGCGGGCCTGGTTTGAGGATGGGTATGAAGAGGCAGCAGAACAGCGGCAGAAAGCTTTGTCTTTCCTATTTCTGGGCTGCCTCGGGGTGAACCACTTGTTCATTTGTACATTGGACCTGGGAGGCTTAAAAGCTTGATCTTGTCTGCACCTTCAGTTAAATGGTTCAAGCTCCAAATCCTTCCTAGTTCAAAAACCTTGCCCTATATAAAAGGCATTATGCTGGTATGTTCAGACTTTAGAAGGCTTAAGTTTTTGACCCACAAGTCAATAGGGGAAATTATCAATGGGGAAATGATAATGTTTTAAATATTAATGTCATCTCAGAGCCTCGTCCACATTCCACCTCAGTGTAGGCTGATAAGCTGGCAACCTGCTGAGATGCTAAATCATCTCTAAGATCAGGCCAAGCAGGAAAGAATACACTTGTAACTCTTGAATACCACTGTGTTACTGTTTTGTTTTTTTTAAATCTCTCTAGGAAAGCCAGTCAGGAGGATAATGCTCAGCTAATAGTGCATTCTCTAAATCAGAACCCGTTGTAGTTCAGGTGGCTGAGGGGATACAAACACTGATCTGATCTGTACGTGTAAGCAGGGTGCAGCAGCAGGTTTGCTCGAGTCTAGAATAAAAAAAAGCACAGGTGGTGAGCAGAGCTCTGGACCAAGGTAGAGCCCCTCGACCCAAGGCCTGGCTTCCCTTGTTAACCCTGTTCCCCTATTTGTACTCAGTTTCTCCACCTGAAAATGAAGAGTCCTGACCGAGAGACAGCCAGAGGACAGATCGGACTGAGATAGAGAGGGGTCTTGAACTCAACATGATGTCTAGGCCAGTGTGCTAAACCCTGAGTTCACATTCTGACTCACTTGGGCTACTTCAGAAATGGATTCTCAGGCCCCATCCAGAAGTCTGGGGTGGAGTGTAAACATCAGAATCACGTGATCTTGCTGTTCAGCCAGCATGGACAACCGCTGGTCTAGGATAGGGGTTGGCAAGTTGGCCCCTACCTAGATCTGGCCAGTTTCCTGTTTCTTATTGGACAGTAGTCACACCTATTAACTTACTGTTGTCCGTAGCTGTTTTTGCACCACAGTGGCAAAGTTGAGTAGTTGCAACAGAAACTATACAGCCAGCAAAACCTAAAATATTTACTATCTGGCCCTTTACAGAAAAAGTTTGCTGACCTCTATTCCAGGGATTCTTTTTTTAATAATAATGACTTTTATAAGTATTATTAAGATAAATTTGTCTTTTTTTATTAAGATAATTTTATCAATATGATATGAAAAATCATATTGTTTGTACAAATGAACAGTAGTATAGTCAAGATATCTATGGTTCATAAAACAAGAAATAGAGATTCGACTTTATTTTTTTTAATGCAGAAAGAGTAGCTTATAGAGGACTGGAGAGTGATCTGATTATACACTAGAAGGGACAGGGGAAGATGGGGAGTGTGGATTAAATTCTCTTTCCTCCCAGCAGAAAGTCACTAGCTGTGTCTAGAGTCAGCAACTCAGGAAACGGCTGCTGAAGCACCGTGTTCACAGATGTGGCAGCAGCGCCAGAAGGGTTGGGGGCAATAACCTCAGGAGCAGGTTGAGGCAGAGAGCTGCTGTTTTTTATTATGAGTTTGTCTGTACTGTTGGCTTTTTTAAACCTTGTAATTTTTTTTTAATTAAAAAAAAAAATCAGGACAACTTTACCTAAAATTTTTCTTCTAATTGCAGCATTTACCCTCCAATTCCAGGACAAGAGAGTTCTCTGAGGTGGGCAGGAAAGAAATTTGAGGAGATCCCAATCGCACACATCAAAGCATCGTACAACAAGTAAGCAGGGAAGGGAGCACCTGGTAGGGCTAGAGTGGGCTTCTTTCCCCTTCAGAGGGGGCGGACAAGTCACGTTCTGCATGCAGAACGTTCTGCATGCAGATGCTGATACAGAGGTTCCCCCGGGCTCCCTCCTGGTTTGGGGAGACCACCTCTCTCTTTATACAGTTTATTCAGATTTCATGAAAATGTGAACTAGGTTAGGCATATCCCATTCATAAGATTTCATTGCTGTCCTTGGGAATTGTATTTCCTGGTTCTGCTCAAGAGTTGGAGAAGAGTATATTTTAGGGCCAGAAAGTCCCTCTGTGAAAGTATTTGTTAAGTGTTAGTACTGGGGATGGGTGATTAATAAATGAGAGAGATTATTTCAGAATATATGATTTACTAACTAAGCAAAATGGAAACCTCCAAATAAGGGTCGCTTTAAAGTACTCGCTTTGGGCCACCGTGCACCGACCTCTGCCTTTGTAGGTCTGCACAAGGTTGGAAGACTAACGTTCTGTGTGGCTTTCAGACAGTCCTGGGTAAGTTCCCAACTGTGTGTTGGCAACAGAAACCTTACTGACGTCAGTAACATCTTTGCACACCAGCCCCCACTTGGAGATGGGATTGGTGTTTGGTCAACAGTCGCCTATGAAGCAATTTTGAGAACAATACTAGAGACTGTTGGTAGTCAGGGCTAGAGGGTGGGCACAGGCGAGGTGCCATAGGATGCATTTCAGCTTTCATCTGGTAAGCTCAGAATGAGAGCCCCTGGATTTTCCTCTCTTCTCAGGTTGCTAAGGACATAGGTAAGCTCTTTGTTCATTTGCTTTTTTAAGGGTCTGTGGCCCACTCTGTAGATTTCTATTGAGGTTGTCTCAGGGACAAGCCATTCTCTTGTCTATTTCTACTCTGTTCAGTGTAGAAAACCCAAGAAGCCGTGGTAGGGAAATGGCAGCCGTAGCCAGGCCAACAGCAGGTGGCCTGAGCCCAGGGCCAGCTCCAGCAGGTCTCCCCGTAACCACTCTCCACTTCCCTCTGTGGTGAGTTCTCAGGGAACTCTTCAGACTAGGAAACTGGGCAGTGATCAAGAGGGAAATGGAAAGCATGTCTAAGGATTTCTTGAAGTTATTCTTAATTTTAATTTAACTTGTTAAAGAGTCCTTATCTTTTAGAGATATATACTGAAATATTTACAGATGAAATGATGGGTCTAAGATTTGCTTCAAAATAATCCATTAGTTAGGGGATAGAGGGGAGTAGAAACAGGGTTTATAGGTGAAACCAAATTGAATATGAGTTAGTAATTGTTGAAGCTGAATGGTGAGTCCATGGGAGTTCAGACATTATTCTATCCACTTTTGTGTATATTTGAAACTTTACCAATGAAAAATCATTAAAAATTACCTGATGTGAAAATCTAATTTCTTAGGGTAGGAGGAAAATATGCCACCTTTCCTCTGGATGACACTAGCACCCTCAGATTATGGAGCTTCTGTTAGTCAGCTTGGGCCACTATAACAAAACACCACAAACTGAGTGGCTTAAACGGCATTTATTTCTCACAGTTCTGAAGCTGGAAGTCAAAGATCAGTGTGCCAGCAGGATCGGGTTCTAGTGACACCTCTTCCAAGTTGCAGATGGCTGGCTTCTCGTTGTGTCCTCACATGCTGGAAGAGGCAAGGGAGCTCTCTGGGGTCCCTTTTATAAGGCACTAATCCAGTTTATAAGGGCTCCACCCTCATGACCTAATCATCTCCCAATGGCCTCACCCCCCAATACTGTTACATTAGGGGTTAGAATTTCAACATGAATTTAGGGGGCGGAGCCCAAACCTTCCATGCATAACGGCTCTCTTTAGATTATATAACTTGTCAGTTTTTAATGAGGTTTAGGGGTTGATTCTGACCTTTCCTTGCACCTCCTACAGGATAAGCTCAGAGTGAAAGCAGCTAACGGTCTTTTTCTTTCACACTCGGGCTTGTCTGGGCATGGGTTAGCGCTCTTTTGCTCCCTTGAAGAGCCATTATATTCTGTACACCTCCCCTCCTTTCCCAGCACACAGATCCAGGTAGTCTCTGCTGCTCACCAGCCCCTTGCCCGCGCTTCCTGTGGCACGGAGGGGTTTCAGAATGCCAAGAAGGGCACAGGCATTGCAGCGCAAACAGCGGGCATAGCTGCTGCGGCGGTAAGTGTGCGTTCTTTCCGGCTCCCTCTGTGCTGGGCTCCACTTTTTGCATGGCTGATCACTGGCAGGAAAATTGTCCTTGAGGCGGCTCTTCAGAAGCAAGAGTATTGGCCAACTCTTGTTGGCTACCCTAACATGGGGTTGGTTTGAAGATATGTGTGAAAACACTTCTCTTTTCTCTTTCTCTCAGCTTCAGTAGAAGTGAAACACTCGGTTCATTCTAGAAGAGGCAGGAGCCAGGTGTTGAAGGCTCACCAAAGCCTCCTGGATTTAAAGACCAGTGCAGTGGGTGGGGTGTGGTTGTGGTAATGGTCCATCTGGAGAAGGTGTGGCATGTGAGGACTCTCCTGCAGTACCAGAGGGAGCATGAACTGTTGCACACCTTCCTAGAAGCAAGGTGACAGTGAGCTGCAGTTGGTGTATTTATTCAGTATCTACTATACGCCAGACACTTTACGTTCATTATCTTGAATCCTCAGAAGACCCTTGGTATTACCCACATTTTTAAGAGTCATTTGGGATTCAGAGTGTGTGACTTGCTCAGAGCCATGCAGCCAGTCCAGTTCTCTGAACTGACCCCGCCAGGTCTGGGACCAGAGCCTGGGCACTGTCTGCTACAACACAGGCCTCACTGCCAAACCGGGAGTATCTCTGGAAGGAACACATTGACCTTCAGACAAAGCTCGATGCCCCAAAATACTGATTGCTGTGTATCAGTGATCATCAAAACACACTAAATGGCCACCAGTGGGCAGGTTTATACACTTAAAAGAAATATGTCAGTGTTAACAGTGGCTTCTGCATGGTGGGTTGAGTGACCTGTGTGTTTTCCAGACTTTCTGCAATAAACTGCCTTTATAAACAAGAAAGAAAATTTTAACTGTAACTAAAGATTAAAATGATAAGACAACACTTTCTAAGAGGGTACTGAGGCTTAGCCTTGGAGTCCAGGGCACCTTATGGTCTGAAATTCTGCATTTATCCACCTGGGAAAAATCTGAGCGATATTTAGAAGTCTCCACTAGGTGGCAGTGCTATCCTGGGTGGAAAGAGATCCCAGCTGACTGCTGGTGTCTGTCCTGCACCTCTGCCATCTGCTCTTTGCTTCCTTCCCTGTCTTCTGCCTGTTTACATGTGTGGGTGCTTGTTCCATGGAGCTCATAACCCTGTTGCTCCAGGTGGCAGCAGCAAGGGGTTTGGATATCGCACTTCTCTTAGAGCACTAACCACTTGCTGCTCCTCTCCAGAAAGCTACAGGGAAGGGTGTGACCCACGTCCGAGTTGTGGTTAAAGGCCTGGGGCCAGGGCGCTTGGTAAGTGACCTTGCTTCTTCACAGCCCAGCATGTGTGCTTGCTTCTTCAGTTAGAGAAACGGGAGTGAGAGCAGAGGAGGGAGAGTGGACCCTGTAGTGGATTCCCCTAACGGCTTGAAGTTTCTTTCCATTGCCTCTAATCTACTAAGCTTCTCCAAGCAAGCCCTGATCACTTAGTTTCAATCCATCAGACACTAACGGAGTGCCTGCTGTGTGCCAGGCACTGGGAACAGAAAGGTGGCCCCTGGGGGACTGTCACAAATGGGTCCCTCAGTACAGACTAGTGAGTGCAGTGGTAAAGCTTGTGCCCAGGGTGCTGGGAGCCTGTTGGGTGTGATCAGGAAAGTGTCCCCAAAGAGGTGACATCTCCACTGATTTTTTGAGAATGACGAGGGACTGACCAGGTATGCGTATGGGATTGGGGGAGGGGGGATCATTCCAGGAAGAGGAAACTACAAAAGCATAATGCTTAAGATGCGTTGAGATTTACAACAGTCTTTGTTCTTAGATTGTAAAGCGCAAGGTGGGACGTGGCAGGTGGGATTGGAGATGTGGGCGGCGTTGAGGGCCTGGTGAAGGGGTTGGTAGGGAGAGCTCTGTGAGAGCATCACGTTGGGACTGTAGATATCAGAGCCAGTGAGCTTTCTCATCCCTACGCTGCGCCCCCCTCACCCCAGACCGGTTCCTCTCCAAGCCCTGTCTGGACACACTGGGGCATTGTTTCTGGGAACGTGCCATCCTGCTATTCCTTCTCCTTCCAGTCTGCCATCAAGGGACTGACCATGGGAGGCCTGGAAGTGATCTCAATCACAGACAACACCCCCATCCCGCACAACGGCTGCCGCCCCAGGAAGGCTCGGAGGCTGTGAGGGGCAGGAAGCCTGCACCTGAACCTGACCTCAAGTCCCGCCTCCAGCTGGATGTCATGGAAAGCACACTGTCAGAGCTCTCTCCAGGGAGGGCTTGTTAGAGACCCTTCAGGCAGTAAAGGAGAGCTCTGCCTCCTTATGGGATGGCCTTTGCTTGTTCCTTCGACTGGAGACCAGTATGCCCAGAAGTGCCTCTCCTGGACAGGAGGAGAGCTATGGGGGCAGCTGTGGCCCAGACGCCAACCAGTAAATGCTGCAGCTGCTCTGAAAAAATAAAAATATCTCCACCATCTGTAGTAATTTGTGGGTTTTTTGCTTCCAGCATTGCAAACAGTAACCCCCCACTTCCTCCTGAAAATGAGATTGTGAATTGAGGTGAGACCCTCAATGGAAGGATTAAGATGTAAATGTGGGCCACTAAGTACCAGGCACCTTCCTCTTTGGTTTCACATATTTCCTTTTTAGCCCCTTAACTAAGGGTTCCAGAGCTCATTAGCAGCTTTTCTTACTAACTTGTAATTTGGCCCCAAATTGAGAGCTTTGTGCCTCCTACCTCTGGAGTATTCTGATAGCAGGTTTCACTGTTAGCAGGCGTGTCTAAAGTTAGTTAGCCCTAACAGTACAGGAGAGTGGTCCTGGAATCAGGTTCCCTTAAGTGTGAACCATCAGAGATTCCCCACAGTCAAGGCTGCGTTACACACTGCGTGGGCGTCAGCAGCCCCAACACCCGAGACTGCATGACCCTAAAGGAGGGAGGGTAGAGTGGTATAAAACAGGGTTCTCTAGAAATTAGGGGAGGTGGAGGGATGGGCAAGAGCAGAGCCCAAATTGAGACGTGCAGGAAAGCGAGTCTGGGTGGTGCTGACACAGTGGGCTCAGCCGGGCTCCCAGGCAGCACTGAACTGCTCAGTCGGGACTCGGGGGTCCCTGGATGCCACACAGAAGCCAAAGGTGGGGCCTCTGGGGACCCAGCAGGAGAGACCCTCTCTTCCTTGGACAGAGAGGACCAAGGATGAGAGCATTACCAGGAGATGAAAAGGTGCACGTCTGTTGGAGGGGAGTCTGCAGGAAGGGCCTGCTGACCACCGAGGGGCTCCACGCCTGCACAGCCAGCCGAGCATTGCGATTTGCCTGAACCCTGTGTAGTAAATGCACAAATGCCCTCTTATGTAGGGAAGCCGCTGTGTTACACAGGTTAGAGAAGGGGAACAGACCAAGACCTGAATGTGAATTTAGAAGGAAAATGTCTCTCTACTGCCTTCTCTTCCATCCTTAGCAGGACCTATGAAGGTTAACTTGTGACCAATGACTAAAGGAACCCAACTGGAGGCTTCTTGTGTTGAAACCACCGACAGAAGGAGTTACACTTTAAAACTATAAACACGTTGCGTAAAAAACATGGGGCTCGTGAGAAACCGCTCTGTGATGTGATATGGTTTGGCCTTTATTCGGGTGGACAGAGGGCCTGGAGCAATCAGTTTAACAGAGCAAGAAACAGGCGGTTCAAAAGAGAAGCTTAAAGAAAGTCCTTTAGAGAGGCGTGGGCAGGGTCAGGGGATAAAGAGGCTGCAGCACTCAAGGACTAGCAGGAGCCGGGAAGGGACAAGCCCCCAGAACCTGGCGGCGCTCTAGTCACAGGGATGCGGTCTCTGCCAAAGCCGCGGCCCGCAGAGGGAGAGGACAGAAACACGCTGATGGCTCCAGCCTCTGGCCACCTGACGTGCCCAGTGGCTGAGCCCAACAAGAACCAGAGCAGGGAAGCAGGGTGGTGCCGTCCCTGGAGGGCCAGCCTCGCAGGCCGCAGAACAGATCTGGAGGGCCACGTGGAGAAGAGGACGCACAGGCGGTCTCCATCATTCCAGAAGTGAAATCTTCCATACGCTGTGGTTTTAGAAAGTGTTATTTTATTCCCAAGAGGGCATTGAAAAGGAAGGTACTGCCTGAGCGTGCCTACAAGTAGACAGGACACAGGGGACCCTAAAGGATCAATGGTCTCGGCCAGAAATGGAAGCCTGGCACCGACACCAGGAGCCAGGTGGGGGGAGCACCATCGACAGGGCGCCCAGGGGGAACGCACACAGCTTTGCTGCTGGGATCCTCAGTGCCCTGCTGCATCCAGGCTCTAAGAGGCCAGTGAACTTGTGCTCTCTTAGACTCTATCACCTCTTAATCGTGGGGTCTTGGCCTCAGAGACCGCCCCTCCTCAGGGGAGGACCTTCACTGACCACTTAAGGCCGTTATCATTCACCCAAAATGCCAGGCTGCCCTTTCCCCTGCTGCCACAAGCCCTTCTCCGAAGCCAGCCTCTCGGTCCTGAGACACAGGTGACCGTGTGCTTGCACTTCCCCCTGGCAGAGAAGATGCAGAGCCTGGCACTGGGTCCTGAGTATTTGCACAAGCAGAGTGTTGGCATCACCTTGTGTGACAACACACTTCCTTGTTTCCTGGCAGCAGGGCCTTGCGTTATTGCTGAGTGCATCAAAGCACAAAGCTGGTGGCCCAGGACTAGCTGCATAAGGAAAGCCTCTCCTCCACCTCTCCCCTCTCTTCTCTCGTCTGCAGGCAAAAAGGCAAATATAATTTTTCTCCTTTCAGCATAGATTCAATGTTGTCCCCTCTTTTGGCCAAGGTCATCACCCGACACCAAGCTGTACCTTCACCACCAAAATAAACCCGTTTAACAGTAGAGCACCTGGATGCTGGCAGAATATAACTCAGCAGTTTAGGAGAAACCATTTTGCAATCGCCTCTGCCTGCAACCTGACTCTCATATGTCCATTTTTTTTAATGCATATTAAATTAAAAGGCATTTAATGCATATATGCCTTCCCCCGAACTCCTTTATTCTTTCTTTCTAGTCATTTTTTCCTACCCTGGATAGATACATTGCTTTTTAAATCTGAGTATTATCAGCCCACAGTGATGGAGTGGTCACTGCCAAAGCAGAAAAGTCTATTCAACCAAAGTGAACAAACATGGGCTATTGCACAAACACAGGCTGAGCACAGGGAGAACAGATATGGCACTGTCATTCCTGTCCCGGAGCTCACAGACCAAGAAAGTGGGACAGGCACATGGCTGAATTAGTCAGAAGGAAGTTCCATACGAGGCATGAATGTTATTGGTGTTTGAGTGAAAGGATGATACCCTCAGTTCATCCCAGCAGGATCACCAGGTATCTTTAGGATTGGAAACTGGCAAAGCAGCATTGCCCCAGGTTACCGGATATGGCTTAGTTGGTGTGGTGCGTCATGATAGGAAGACGAATGGGGGTAAAATCTTACCAAAGGACTGGGAGAAAAGGAAGGAGGCAAAAAACCTGTGGCCACACAAGATGTGATGGAGAAAGGGAGGTGGGCGTGTAGAAGGCTGCAGTCAAGCTCATTTGCAGGCGATGAAGGTAGGTGTGTAGGCATCTAAAATAGAGTAGAAAGAGTCACTGAGGTTTAAGTCAAGAAACTATGAGATGTGGACAAAAAAAGCTGTCAATCTTGATGCTGAAGCCCCAAAGTGGGCATCAGGGAAGGGGACAGAAAAGTCTGGGAGAATCAAAGTCCCCAAGCAACACAGAGCGGCCAGAGTACAGGAAGGAGTATATAGGTTTAGGAAGAGGGGAGTAACAGCACGAACTTCAAAAGAGAAGGACTGTTGGGATGAGGTGGCAGAACGATGTCCCAGAAGGGAGATGAGGCACTGGCCACATGCTGACCCGCATCCCTGGGCACTGGGGTGAGATGTGCAGAGTTGGGGAGGAATGGGGAGGAGTGTGGTGATGAGAGACTGTCTCTTCTCAGTGGAATCAAGCTCTGGGGACCACAGAAGGAGGAGCGGGGTGATGAGAGTCCTGGAGAAGAATGCAGGCTGTGGGCTGGGTTGGGGGTGTCCGGCGTGGTGACTTTGCAGATGCTGAGAGGGTGTGGAGAGAGATGAGGCCGGGGAGAGCCTGGAGGGGGCGAGGACAGGGACCTGCCATGGCTGTGGTCTGGACTGGAACCTGTGTCCAGTGTCTGCTCTGCTTCTAAGCTGCTTTCATAAAGAATACAGACGGCCGGAAGCCATGAAAAGATGACCCTTCTTACAAGTAATCAAGGAAATGGGAATTAAAATGCATGACCATGGGCTTTCCTGGTGGCGCAGTGGTTGGGAGTCCGCCTGCCGATGCAGGGGACACGGGTTCATGCCCCGGTATAGGAAGATCCCACATGCCGCGGAGCGGCTGGGCCCGTGAGCCATGGCCGCTGAGCCTGCGCGTCCGGAGCCTGTGCTCCGCAACGGGAGAGGCCACAACAGTGAGAGGCCCATGTACCGCAA